GGCAAACAATAAATAAGTGTTTTTTTCACTGCCTCGTTTACAGCAAACAAGGTAAAATCCAACTTGCAGATACGTTTTTAAAGAGAGCGATTCAACTCGAACCAGATTTTGCCGAAGCCTACTCATCCTTGGCTTCTCTCCGGGCACAAATAGGAAGAATCAAAGAAGCAGAGGAGCTCCACCTGGCGGGGCTTCGGCTAAATCCGATTAATGTAGACGCCCTGAATAACTATGGAGTATTCCTACAAAGCTTGGGTGAGTGATTAGTTAAAATACAAGAATAAGAAATAAGTACCTTAGTTGGCAGGTGTTTTAGCTGTCAGAGTGTCTTCTTTATAGAGAAACTGACATCGGAAATTTTAACTCATACATTGAATCGTCTATAGTTAAGTTAGTAACAGTCCAAGAAATCTAAGTGTGAGTTTTTACACGTTAGAAGATAGTAACATTTATAAAACTCCTGGTTTCAGAAGTAGTGATAAGTGACCAATCTACTTTGTTCAGCATCGACCGGTGGAAAGTGGTCACTATTCATGATCAAGCGGTAGTAAGTGATCACTTTATTCGGCATCGAGTGGTGGTAAGTGATTACTATTCATGATCAAGCAATAGTAAGTGATCACTTTATTCGGCATCGAGTGGTGGTAAGTGATTACTATTCATGATCAAGCAATAGTAAGTGATCACTAATCATGATCAAGCAGTAGTAAGTGATCACTAATCATGATCAAGCAGTAGTAAGTGATCACTAATCATAATCAAGCACTAGTAAGTGATAACTATTCATGATCAAGCAGTAGTAAGTGATAACTATTCATGATCAAGCACTGGTAAGTGATAACTATTCATAATCAAGCAGTAGTAAGTGATAACTATTCATGATAAAGCAGTGGTAAGTGATAACTATTCATGATTAAGCAGTAGTAAGTGATAACTATTCATGATCAAGCAGTAGTAAGTGATAACTATTTATGATAAAGAAGTGGTAAGTGATCACTTTATTCAGCATCGAGTGGTGGTAACTGATCACTATTCATGATCAAGCAGTAGTAAGTAATCAATTTTATCAACATGGTTTTTATGTCTTTTGTTTTAGTAACTAAAACCATGTAGCTTTAATGGATTTATCCTAAAATAACCTCTTCTTCAGCTTCAATAGTTTTAACCCATTTAATTAAAATAACCTCTCCTCTACGTCTAACAGTTTAATCCTTTTACCAAAGAATAACCTACATACAGTGTGAAGAACCTAAACGATTTTATTGTAGAAAAATATCAGAAATAAAAATATAAAGTTCAACGCACTTCCTTTGGGTTATTTGTTCTTCTTCAAGTAAAGCAAATATACAGAGAACGGGAACAACCTGATATATGTACTTAGGTGACCGTAGAGGCAAGTAACCATGATAACCTGAAATATATACTTAGGTTATTGTGGAAGCTAGTAACCATGACAATAACCTAAAAATATGTACTTAGGTGACTGTAGAGGTAAGTAACCATGACAACCTGAAATATATATATACTTAAGTTATCATAGAAGCTAGTAACCATGACAACCTGAAATATATATACTTAAGTTATCATAGAAGCTAGTAACCATGACAATAACCTGAAATATGTAAACAAACGCTTTCAGCTGCGAAACCTAAACAAACGCTTTCAGCTGCGAAACCTAGACACACACTCTTAGCTGTGAAACCTAGACACGCGCTTTCAGCTGAGAAACCTAGACACGTGCTTTCAGCTGCGAAACCTAGGTATATGCTTTCATTCAGCTGTAGAAATGAAATAAAACAAGTAATGTGTTTGTTTTTCCTGAACTTAACAAATATAGACAGTGTGTTCGGTTGGATTGTTTGACCAGACAATACGAGATTCATGTTAATAAGATATCTATTTTCTCCAAGAAGATCGGAGCGATGATGCCCTATTCTACTATAAAAAAGCTCTCCTCTTCCAACCCAACCACACGGTAGCTCTCGTGAACGCAGCGAAGACTCTTCGTTCTTTGAAGTTTGTTGAAGACGCCGAGAGCTTATACAAGAGGTAGGCGGCCATCACTTTATTGTTAGTGTATCAAACCACTAGGCTTACACTAATCGGGTATCCTATTGCTTTTAACGTTGCATTCTCCTCCTGAGTCCAATCTGTTTTTGTTGTTGTTGTTGTTTTCTTCTAAGAAGGAGTATTACAATTTATGTTTTAATATATTATCTAAGAAGATCGTCTAAAGTTTTCAACATTAATCTGTGATGTAAAGATCTACTTTAGTTTCATCTTGCTAAAGTGGTTTCGTTCGCTTCGGACAAACAATTACTAGTTTTATAAGAGACAGATGATTAATATTTGAGGTGATTCAGTTGTATTACAAACCATTCATAACTTCACACCAACGTGAAAGGGTGATTCATCGAGTCCCATTCCTCAAGAGTTTTATTATACAAAACTGTTCAGACATACATGACTCTAACTCAAGCAATATACACAAACTACATACAAATACTGACTCCATCAATATACAAAAGGCATGCACAAACACTGACTCCATCAGTATACACAAACCAAGTACATACACTGACTCCATCAATATATACAAGTCATATACAAACACTGACTCCATCAGTGTATATAAATCATATACATTCAGTAACTTCATCCGTATACACAAACTACATACAAATACTGACTCCATCAGTATACACAAACCAAGTACATACACTGACTCCATCAATATATACAAGTCATATACAAACACTGACTCCATCAGTATATATAAATCATGTACATTCAGTAACTCCATCCGTATACACAAACTACATACAAATACTGACTCCATCAGTATTCACAAACCATGTACATACACTGACTCCATTAGTATATACAAACACTGACTCCATCAATATACACGAAAAGCAAGTATAGACACTGACTCCATCGATATACACGAGTCATGTGCAAACACTGACTTCATCAGTATACACAAACCATGTATTTACACTGACTCCATTAATATACATACATCATGCACATTCAGTGACTTCATCAGTTTACACAAACTACATACAAACACTGACTCCATCACATTCGATTTCGATGACTCCATCAATATACACAAACCAAGTACAAACACTGACTCCACCAATATACACAAACCATGTACATATACTGACTTCATCAGTATATACAAATCATCTACAAACACTGACTCCATCAATATACACAAACCAAGTACAAATACTTGCTCAATCAGTATATACAAATCATCTACAAACACTGACTCCATCAATATACACAAACCATGTACATATACTGACTTCATCAGTATATACAAATCATCTACAAACACTGACTCCATCAATATACACAAACCAAGTACAAATACTTGCTCAATCAGTATACATTGATCATATCCTCAAGTGTGATATTTTTAGGAAAGTCCATCACAATCAATACGACCTCAATCTTCCTTATCACCTTCAAAACATTTAGTGTTTCATCTTTAATCTTCGACATAGAACTCTGATCTTGTGGATAATGGTTTGTATTATAAAGTTCAGGAAGCAAGAGCTTCTACTTTTATCTTGGTAACAGACATTTAATTGTTTCAACAACTATGTTGCATCTCCTTCTCATTGGTAGATCTTCGTGTATGATACAGTCGAGCTGGGAATGTAGAGAATCTAACATGGCTCTGTCTGTTAACAAGTGTTTTACAGACACTGTTGCTGTGTTTCTTATTTCTGTTCGAGTAACCCATTTTATAATTTTGTTTTCAATATTCAAGAATCTCGTGATGATCTATTTGTCATATATATCTGTTACGTCATTGCTATGATCTGCAGTATTGTATAATTTTGATCCATTGCTAAGGTTTATACTATTCTTTCATTGTTCTTTTATTGTTAGAGTATATACTATTGCTCCATTGTGGTGTCACTGCTATGTTCTATACTTGTTTCATTGTTGTATCATTGCTATGATCTATGCTATTGTTTCCTTGTTGTATTATTGTGATACTGCTGTTTAATTGTTGTATCATTGCTATGATCTGTACTATTGTTTCGTTGTTGTATCATTGTCATGATCTATACTTTTGTTTCCTTGTTGCATCATTGTTATGATCTATACTATTGTTTCGTTGTTGTATTATTGCGATACTGCTGTTTAATTGTTGTATCATTGCTATAATCTATACTATTGTTCTATTGTTGTATCATTGCTATGATCTGTACTATTGTTTCGTTGTTGTATCATTGTCATAATCTAAAATTTTGTTTCCTTACTGTATTATTGCGATACTGCTGTTTGATTGTTGTATCATTGTTATGATCTGTGTTACCATTTCACTGTTTAATCGCTGTTACGTTCATTACTACTGTGTATTTGTTGAATTATTGATATAATCTATATTATTATTTTATTGTTCAGCTATTTCTATCATTTGCTCTTTGTTGTTTACTAAGACTTTTCTTCAAGAAATACATTGAATATCTTTAAGATTTAAAGATCTAAGACGAAGAATTGGATGGTATTAATTTTGACTGAATTTTCTTGGTATCGTTCACCTTAAAAAGTGGGTATCAAAATTTGCTTTGGTTTTCGACCCACTCTATTTTAGTTGAAGAGCTAGTTTGGGGTAAATATTAATAACTTATGAAAGCTTCTTTAGAGCTCTTCAAGTTCAGAACGACCCTCAAGTACTGGACAATCTCGGTGTTTTATACATGAAGTCAAGGAGGTTACTCGCTGCTAAAGAAGTCTACCTAAAAATGATGAATCAATATAGCCATTACCAAGATGGGAAAATTCACTACGTAAGTAAGCATTCTACCTTTTATCCCCCACAGTTTAATGTTTTCATTCCTTTTTATTTGGCATTAAAACGCCTATAAATAACGACCAGTCAACAACACTTTATACAATAATTAAACTTAATATTCCTAAAATTGTTTAATCTCGAAGTCTAAGTTGTCTAGGCCAAACTACATTTTAACCAACGTGGGTTATTGGGTTAAACTAGTTTCGGAGAATTACACTCTTCATCAGGAACCCTGAACACAAGTTAACCAAAGAGAGATAAGCTGGACCTATATCATAGTGAAAAGTATCAAACATACTGTTGGTCTGAACGTGCTTTGTAGTCACTATTGTAGGTTGCTATTGTGCGGCTATATAATGTGAAGAACTGAATAGAGGCCAATGACTTTGTCTTCACTTCACCTATCCAGTGTATAGGTCTTTCTCATAGTGAATATACAACAGCTTCACACCAACAATATGTTTAACACTATATACCACTGAACATAAAACAGATTATTTATAGGCTATAAGATGACGTATCGAAAACCTACGTTGTATATACATTTTTCTTCTATACAGTTGGATATTCCTTGTATACAGTTGGATACTCCTTGTATACAGTTGGATATTCCTTGTATACAGTTGGATACTCCTTGTATACAGTTGGATATTCCTTGTATACAGTTGGATATTCCTTGTATACAGTTGGATACTCCTTGTATACAGTTGGATATTCCTTGTATACAGTTGGATACTCCTTGTATACAGTTGGATATTCCTTGTATACAGTTGGATATTCCTTCTATACAGTTGGGTATTCCTTCTATACAGTTGAATATTCCTTGTATACAGTTGGATATTCCCTCTATACAGTTGGATATTCCTTGTATACAGTTGGATATTCCTTGTATACAGTTGGATATTCCTTCTATACAGTTGGATATTCCTTCTATACAGTTGGATACTCCTTGTATACAGTTGGATATTCCTTCTATACAGTTGGATATTCCTTCTTTTCAGTTGGATATTCCTTGTATGCAGTTGGATACTCCTTCTATACAGTTGGATATTCCTTCTATACAGTTAGATATTCCTTCTATACAGTTGGATATTGCTTCTATACAGTTGGATATTCCTTCTATACAGTTGGATATTGCTTCTATACAGTTGGATATTCCTTGTCAACGACAAACACCCACCTCCAAATTAATATCTATCGTAATATTATCACTAGTTTCCAGAGTGTCAAAAATTGTCAGTTTTTTTAGTATACACTGAAGTTGTAGTTTGGAAAATAGTTAGTAAACCATAAGTTATTCTCTCATTTTGCATGTTCAAATTTCGATCACCAAAATATTAGAAAAATTTAACAAATCCCTAAAAACGTGTTTTTAAGAATACCAGAAAAATTTGTTGAGTAGAGGTGAGGATTGATATAGTTAGTGCAAGGAAGGAGAGGCAGTCCTACCAAGGAACAGCTGTATATAAAGATCAGAACTCAGTGAGTTAGCGTAGGGAGGCAGACCTAGAAGGAACAGCTGTATGTAAAAATCAGAACTGAATGATAACTCAAGTGTGTTATTTATTTCTATTGTAGATACTGTGTGATATTTCTTGTCTCTTCAGGCGCAGCTGTTAATGCAAGAACGTAGTTTTAAAGAAGCTGAAAGCGTCCTCCTCTCTGCAATAAAAAGAAACAATACTTTCAGGGATGCTTATCATCAGCTAGCTGTACTATATATCAACACTAACAGAAGTGCCGAGGTAAGCAGGCTCTACTGTATACTAAGAATAACAGAAGTGCCGAGGTAAGCAGGCTCTACTGTATACTAAGAATAACAGAAGTGCTGGGGTAGGCTGGCTCTACTGTATTCCAACACTAACAGAACTGTTGGGGTGAGTTGGTTGTACTGTATACTAACACTAACGGAAGTGCTGGGTTAGGCTGGGTGTACTGTATTCCAACACTAACGAAAATGCTGGGGTAAGTTGGCTGTACTGTATACTAACACTAACAGAAGTGCTGGGTAGACTGGCTGTACTGTATTCCAACACTAACGGAAGTGCTGGGGTAAGTTGGCTGTACTGTATACTAACACTAACAGAAGTGCTGGGTAGACTGGCTGTACTGTATTCCAACACTAACGGAAGTGCTGGGGTAAGTTGGCTGTACTGTATACTAACACTAACGAAAGTTCTGGGGTAAGTTGGCTGTACTGTATACTAACACTAACAGAAGTGTTGGGGTAGGCTGGGTGCAGTGTATATTAACACTAACAGAAGTATCAAGGCAAGTTGGCTGTACTGTGTACTAAAACTAACAGAAGTGTCGAAATGAGCTGGCTATTTTTCCGAGGTAAGTTTGTGTATATTTTGTAATCACAGGAACAGAAACGACAAAGTAAGTATGTGTGTACTGTATATACTTAACATTCGATTGATTTATTTTGTGGGTAGTAATGTCATACTTCAAAAGATAACGTTGTTTTACACAACTTGTTGTTCTAGGTAAGAAGGTGAATTTGTGTTAGGTAGGTACTGATATCCTACTCAAAAAGTCGATTGTTTTATTTTGTGGGTAGTAATGTCATACTTCAAAAGATAACGTTGTTTTACATAACTTGTTGTCCTAGGTAAGAAGGTGAATTTGTGTTAGGTAGGTACTGATATCCTACTCAAAAAGTCGATTGTTTTATTCTGTGAGATCTGATGACATGCTTGAAGAGTCAAGTGTCATATAGTGTGATTACTGGTGCAATACTGAAAAAAGCGAAATGTTTGTTGTGTGAGAACTGATGTTATACCTAAAAAGTCCAGTATTTTATTACTTGGGAACTGATGTTATACTTAAAAGGTCTAGTATTTTATTGTGCTAGAACTGATGTTATACTTAAAAGGTCTAGTATTTTATTATTTGGGAACTGATGTTATACTTAAAAGGTCTAGTATTTTATTGTGTGGGAACTGATGTTATATTTAAAAGGTCTAGTATTTTATTGTATGGGAACTGATGTTATACTTGAAAGGTCTAGTATTTTATTGTGCGGGAACTGATGTTATACTTAAAAGGTCTAATATTTTATTGTATGGGAACTGATGTTATACTTGAAAGGTTTAGTATTTTATTGTGCGGGAACTGATGTTATACTTAAAAGGTCTAGTATTTTATTGTGTGGGAACTGATGTTATACTTAAAAAGTCTAGTATTTTATCGTGCGGGAACTGATGTTATACTTAAAAAGTCCAGTATTTTATTATGTGAGAATTGTTGTTATATTTTTTAAATAATAAAAAAGAACGTCTTAAATTTTTCTACAATAAAGAAAACCCACTTTTATCTATCAAACCACGACGGTCTAGATACAGACTCAGAAATTTGATAATTTAATTTCCGTACCTAATGACGAATTAAAAACAAGTTAAATGCTTATCTGATTTTTTTTAGGGCTTGGATCACATTTTGCAAGCTATCAGTCTGTGTTCCACTTGTGATCATTCTTGTGCTCAACTTTACGTTTGTCATGGAGATATTGCAAAGGAGTTGGATGCTCTGGCCACAGCAGCTCAAGTAGAACTTCTTTAAACTTCAAGTATACAGTAAAATCAATCGTGATGAAAAACTGTTTGTTTTATCTTATATATTAAAACCAAATCTAAAGTCATTGTTAGACTATAGTTGATTTCTGTACGCTAAATGTTTAGTTTTAAATATTAGAACCAAATGTCAAAATTATTGTTAGATATTTTCTGTTCTGATTCTCACAAACTTTTAATTCTTTTTTAACCGCCACCAGAGCTACGATTTAGCACTACAGATCGATCCCAACATAGCCCATGCTCATCTGAACCTTGGTGTCATCCATCATTTACAGGTAAATACTCTTAAAATATAAAACCATAATGTACAAGCTCCATCGTTTGTCGTACTTTTGCAAAATTCAAGTATTCGTATCAAGTACACGCTAATTATAAATATATATCCCAGTCTTTGCCTAGAGGCAGTATCGTACTCAGTCTTTGCCGGTAGGGAATGTCATATACTGACGTTGCCGAGTAAGAATATCGAGCTCAGACTTTACCGAAAGCGAATGTCGTAGTGGATGTTGCCGAGTGAACAAATGAATGCGGACATTGTCGATTGGAAATATTGCACATGGACTTTACTGAGTGAGGATATCGAATTCGGACCTTGCCGAGAAGGAACTTTGTACTCAGACTTTGTTGAGATGAAATATCGTATTTGAACTTTGTGGGAATGCTGAACCCAGACTCTGCCTGTGCTTGAAGCGTTCTGAGAACCAGGTTTATGTATGAAATATCGTATTTGAACTTTGTGGGAATGCTGAACCCAGACTCTGCCTGTGCTTGAAGCGTTCTGAGAACCAGGTTTATGTTAGAAATAAGGAAACGCAACATTTTGATAGATTATCCACTACTTGAGACATATTCCTCGCTGTTTGTAAACGAAACAACTGGCATGTATCAGAGCTACGTTTTGACATTACATAGGTAGTGTTATGCCACGAAAACTGATCGTTCTTTAGAAGAATATGTAACAACCCTTTCAGACGCAAAATATTCGCATAATCAGATTTAAAGATGTGTTTAGATCGGAGATTTACAGATTCCAAGACGAAGATATCCCCTGTACTTAAGTGGCATTGAAAACAAAGGAATATGAATGGATTTGGGGAAACAGGACTATCCAGAAAGAAACCTGCAAAAAGTCGTACCCCAGCCGAGCTAAATAAAGTGCGACGTCTTCCAAAAGTGAGATATCATGAAAACAATGGTCAATGGCAAAAGCCCCAGGCAACAGTACACGACATAAACAGTGTCTATGTCTGCAGCATAAACATGTGTCATATGTACACAAGTTACTTCCACAACATATCTGAGCAACCGTCGTATACCTCAAACAGCTTAAGAATGAAACAGGTATTCAAACTGTTCTATACGAACACATACTGGTGAAATCGCTAGGGGCAACGATGGACTTCTATGCGATCGGACTGTTGAACGGATGCCAAGAAACCGTCGTTCTCGTACACTAGATGGATTATGGAAAACAGCAGAAGTAATGTTGTGCTTTTGAAAGTACAACCTAACGATTGAGACCTTTGCAATGGAAACTACGCTGCAGAATTATTGTCAAAATGCACAGCCGTGAGATAGGGCAGGGTTGGCCACGGTTACATGGACTGCAACGGCGCAAGAAGGTTCCAAAATGTTTTAACATAACGAAGTCAACCTTTGTACAGTGCAACATTCCTCTTGAAGAACTCAAGTATTCCATCTTTACCTTTAGAAACTTGGACGATAGTATTTCATCTTTAGTTTTAAAACTTGGACGATAGTATTCCATCTTTACCTTTAGAAACTTGGACGAAAGTATTCCATTTTTACCTTAAAAACTTGGACGATAGTATTCCATCTTTACCTTTAGAAACTTGGACGATAGTATTCCATCTTTACCTTTAGAAACTTGGACGATAGTATTTCATCTTTAGTTTTAAAACTTGGACGATAGTATTCCATCTTTAGTTTTAAAACTTGGACGATAGTATTCCATCTTTACCTTTAGAAACTTGGACGATAGTATTTCATCTTTACCTTTAGAAACTTGGACGAAAGTATTCCATTTTTACCTTTAGAAACTTGGACGAAAGTATTCCATTTTTACCTTAAAAACTTGGACGATAGTATTTCATCTTTAGTTTTAAAACTTGGACGATAGTATTCCATCTTTACCTTTAGAAACTTGGACGATAGTATTTCATCTTTAGTTTTAAAACTTGGACGATAGTATTCCATCTTTACCTTTAGAAACTTGGACGATAGTATTTCATCTTTAGTTTTAAAACTTCGACGATAGTATTCCATCTTT